GTGGGGGGTGGGGGGGAGGGTTGGGACTGACCGCGCGGTTGGAAGAGGGGGGGAGGCAAGGTGGGGTACTTTGATTGACAGATAGTGTCGTGAAGATTATTTTTTTTTTTATTAACTGAAGATATTTGTTTTAGCTCATAAAATTCATACAAATTACCCGGTCAGAATATAATTTACATTGCTGGAATTCTTATAATTTGGTGATCATTTTGAATATAAACATCATATATTTTGCTTTAAACTTACAATTTTTAGATAAAATTTTTCTCTAGGTAACTATGTTATCTTTTGTGCAAAATATATGACATTTATATTCAAAATATTCCTGGTCTTACAAGGAATCCAGCAATGTCAATTATATTTTCCTAACTTTAGTTTGAGGTTATCCCACACATCTCCTTGGGACGGTTGGTGGGGGTGGGAGGGAGGGACCGACCGACCATCTGTTAGCTGGCTGTGTAGTGTGAGAGGGGGAGGGAGTTGAGTCCATTATTTGAATGGACATTAACTTGGCGACTGTATTTCTCTATTTCTCTTAAGTATTAATTGTGTGCATGTACCATCATAAAATTAAGATGTTATTTTTACTACAACATAGGTATGTGCCTTCAAAAAGTGGAGTTTGGGGGTCGGGCCGGTTTCTATTGGAATTAATCCCATATGTTCTGTTGTTCACTTAACGCGGATTTCACTTAACGCGGGACCCTCTGGGTTCAATTGACCGCGTTAAGTGGGGTACAACTGTATAATGATGGGGATTCCATTTTTTAATAAAAAAATATAAAAAAATTAAGAAATTTTGATACCAGAATCAATAAAAATTTTAAAAGCAGAAAATTTATATGATACGGGCATGAATGGAGCTGTGACGAAAGCAAAGACAGTGGTATTTTCCCTTAAACTACACGGGTTTAAACAATGCGGACCTCACCCCTCCACGGACTGGACTAGAGGTTGCAGGAGGAGTAAGGTTGGTTGTGTAAGTGCGTCTGACAACTTTCACTACTGGCCACGAGGGGTCTCTACGGTGGTGCAGGAGAGCTCCACGCTTCCTTGCCCCCACAGTTACCCGCACTACATCTTACAGACACAGAGTGCACACCCATGCTCTTCATATTTCTTATTTCATAGTTTTTATCATGCTCTTCATATTTCTTAATTTATAGTTTTATATCATATTTTCTTTATTTCTAAGTCATATAAGAGTATTAAAACAATTTTTCCACAACTTTTATAGTTTCATTGTATGTAGCAATAGCAACATGCATTACTATCTCTCGCACGCCCAGCTGACTTGGCATGTCAGCCAGCTGCATCCCGGCACGTCACAGAAAAAAAACGGACTTTTTTAACAATTATTCTACTCAATAAAAATGGTGTGGATTAGAAATAAAGAAAATATAATATAAAACTATAAAATAAGAAATATGAAGAGCATGGGTGTGTATGTGTGAGAGATGAATGTCTGTGTAGGTAGTGAGCTTTAAACTATGTCTCTGACTCACCAGCCTAGCCACTGCATTTATTTTTGCTTTTAATGAAACTATAAATGTTGTGAAAAAACATTACAATACTCTAATGTGGCTGAGAAACAAAGAAAATATAATATAAAACTATAAAATTATAAAAATAAAACAATACTGTATGTGGGAACTAAGTGTGTTATGGGGTGGGTTTTTCTTCGTTTTTGGGCAATTTTAGCTTCTCGTAGCTTCATGTAGGTAAATGTCGCCGTTTTGGGTCTTTGCAGGGTTTTCATTAACCTAACCCTTGCGTTGTTTAAGAGATATGTGTACTGTGTATACTGTACTCACCAGCAGATGCTGTTGTCTTGACCCTACAGTAGGCATATACTGTTCACTCAGCTGTATGTAATATGTAACTGTAAGGGGGTCCCCGGGTTACGAACGGGTTCTGTTCCTGAGGACATTCTTAATTCGGAACACATGCTATGTGCACACCGTACTTACAGAACAATGTTTAAAATCCCACTATATCATAGCCTAAGTCCTTATATACATCTAAAATTATTTAATTTAAGAGAAAAGAAATAGAATGATAAAATACAGGAAATGAAAGTAAAAAGTATGTCATCGGGTAAATAAAATACAGGTCGACAACCCTTTATCCAAAATTCCGAAAAAACCGAAAAAAAATTTGTGGAGCAATTTTTTTTTTTTTTTTTTTTTTTTTTTTTTGGTATTAGCCCACCCAGGCACATGTCACTGACCCACATCGGGGCCTGGGGCGTGAAAATGTAATAGTAATAATAATTATAATAATACAGGTAATAATGATAATACAGTAATACCGTATATCACGGCCTATAAGGCGGCGGGGTGCATAAGACGCCCCCCCCAAATTTCCATTTAAAAAGTAGCTTTAGAGCTCTATTTGCTGTATAAGACCAGTACCCCAAATGTGACACTTACCCACTGACTCAGTAGTCCTTTACCAACCATCCTTGATTTTTTAAAATAAGGCCAATTCACTTCAAGTAATGTCATCAAATTATACCCGCTGGTGTAGTGTAAACACTAGTGACGTCACTGAAGCGTGGTGGGAGTGTTCCCTCGTCTCGGTGGTGTGACTATTTATACAACATGTGGTTCAACAGCAACCACCGTATTCTAATTGTGGTGTTTCATTAGGATTTGAGTGAAAAAGGTTACCAGTATGTACTTACTACATACATTTATTACACAAATATATATATATATATATATATATATATATATATATATATATATATATATATATATATATATATATATATATATATATATATATATATATATATATATATATATATATATATATATATATATATACTGAATATACTATGTACAAAAAATGAATGTTCAATGAATTATTTATGGTGCATTAGGGTACTGGTCACTTCTGATGGGCTATAAATAGCTTTGTTATCTCCCCTCCATCTCACCCTGAGCCAGACGGAAGGGTCTTGGTAAATAACATGTTTGCTTATTTTCCATTTACTTTAAATAGATTTACCGAATTATTTGTTTTATTTATTTATTTATAATATACTGTAATATATTAAACACACTGTAATTATTTTCTTTAATTTATAAACTGTTTTGCGACAAAGGAATGTTCTCCAGTAGTGTTTCATTAGGATTTGAGTGAAAAAATATTACGTACTTACACAATTGTTCCTCTTACTTTGACAACACAACATACATACAGTATATTATTTCTCAGTTTTGATCTTTTTTTAATTTTTGTATTTATTTATAGTTAGTTACTTAAAATAAGGCCAATTCACTTCAAGTAATGGCATCAAATATTACCAGCTGGTGTAGTGTAAACACTAGTGACGTCACTTGAGCGTCTGTAATTAACCGTCGATAGTTTCAAGAATTAATGCACTCATTTACTGAATATTCTTTGTAAAAAAATAAAATTTAAATCAATTATTTATAGGAGATAAATATTATTATGAGTAAATATACCGATACCGGTATGCATTACTGACCACCTCCACGGCTAAAAATAGCCCAATCTCGGGTCACTTTGCCTTTCTTGTCTCCTCACTGGCAAATGGGGGGGGCGTGGGGAGGGGTGTGTGATGATAGCTGTGTTTATTACAGGGGTATAAATCTCTTTTACGGTATGTTAGACAGGTTTATAATACATTTTTATTATTTTAATATACCGGTAATCTTAATTTGAATCCAGCTTGCCAAACGTAAGTTTCAGTATAAAATAATTAGTGGTAAGACCTTGTGAGTGGCTTACGATGTTTTCATCACCACTCTTGACACACTAAACCACAATATTTAAGAGGTAAGAATTTTAAACTTGGTGGTTTAGACGACCCCCTAACTTTGGGCAGATTTTTTTAATGTTCAAATTTCGTCTTATAGGCCGTGATATACGGTAATAATAATTATTCATAGTAAATAAAAATTTTAATAAAAAATACACAAAAATAAAATAAGAATGATAACAATAATAATAATAATAAAAACAAAAATACTGTAATAATGAAATAATAATAATAATAAAGAAATACAAGAATGAAAAAAAGATCAAAAGTGAGAAACATGACCTAGACCTATGAATTATTATTATTATTATTATTATTATTATTGTAATTATTATTATTATTATATTTTAGCCCCCAGGCCCCAATGTGAGTCAGTGACCTGCTGTGCCCGGGTGGGCTGATCCCTGTAAAAAAAACAAAAACAAAAAAAATTCTGAAATCCGAAAAATTCCAAACACCGCAGTGCATCTGGTCCCAAGGATTTCGGATAAGGGACTGTCAACCTGTACTGTACTGTAAATTTAAAGTTTGACCTCGTCCGTATCGGAAGGATATTCATAGGTCGGGGACTCCCTGTAATCACGTTTTAACACTTGCGATGGAGACTGGGTGGGGGATTAGTGGGTCTCATGACCTGATATCTTGAATGAAGACAAATGCTAAAATGTTTCCAATATCTTCCCAGGCAGTAGCACCTCCCTGTTTAGTAGCTGCCTAATACCTACTACAGGTACAGTGATATCTCTGTTAGCCGGAACAATTGGAACAGAACACTTCCGGAAATGAGAGATTTCCGGGTAATGAGACAACTCCCTCCAAGCCGGAAAAAAATCCCTCATCCCCAGAATTTTTTGGGTTATGGAAAAATGTCCTTGGAAGTTCCAGAAATAGCCCATTACACCAACTCTCAAAGCCGGAAAAATATCCCCCATCCTTGGAATTACTGTATCTGGGTACCGGAAAATCTTTTTCGGAATTTAAGGAATATGCGCCTGATTTCATCTCTCACACCCGGAAAAAAACTCCCCCCTCCCAGGAATTTTCCAGAATTTTCAGGGTATCGGGAAATTTTTCTCTGAATTTTCCGGAAAATGTGCCCCTCAGAAAATCGTTCCCAAAGCCGGAGATATTACTGTATTACCGTACCATATTCAGTTAACCAGTGAACTAACGTGTTAATTAGATACATAGTATTTAACTTTCTTACCTGTTGCTGGAGCCCCCTGATGACGTCTGCCATCAACTTGTCACGTGCTTTTTGCTCTTTCTCCCATTCTGCCTGTCTCTTCCGCCATAACCTCTCTGCTTCTTCACTGTGGATATTTAGAATCCCATTACCTAATTGTCATTACTCTTCTCTGTAGCATTAACTGGACACCTGCCAACCATTCCAGACATTGTAAGACAGACTGGAGTTCATCTGTTTCAGTAATTACACTGTAAAACATAGATTACTTGTGATTTGCTCCTGTAAAATTTGCAAACACTGATACACTAAAAGGACTTCCTTTCCTCATTTCAGTCTAAATGAAGAACAAGATTTTGACTGAACCCAGAGGAGGTGCAGGAAGGCTGGGAATTTAGGCTGACACAATAACTCACCAGGGATCTGCATAGGACTTTTCATTAATAGATTACACATCGCCTATTACATAATGGGAGAATGTATTACAAGGGTAATATAGTATAATTATTATTGATGTTAGCTTAGCGTTTCATATCTTCACCTTTTTTTTCAATTATCATCCGGTTTCTCGTAAGTACTTGTACAGGCATAAAATTATTGAACAGTACAGTAAACCCTTGCAATTCGCAGGGGTTAGGTTCTGTGGAATGGCATGAATTGGCAAACAGCGAATAACAACTTATACTACTTTAGTGCGCTACTGTATGCCTATACTGTGTATGAGAAACTTAAGTACTGTACAGTAAGAAGAAATCTGGTTACTAAAGCATAGGAAGATTATCAGAATCACTGTTGGAAGAAGATGATGCAGTGGTGGTTGTTGGAGAGGCGTGTGGCAAGGAGTCGGGTGGTGGGGTGGTGCGTGGCGGGGAGGTGGGAGCTGGGTGAGTGGCTGGTTCTTTCTTGAAAAACATCATGATTGGTAGTTGTTTTTCCTCTTGGCTTTGAGGTCCTGAAACATTTCCTGGTAGGGAAACAATGCCTTGTTAATTTCTTAAAAGATTTTAAGGCTTTGTTCCATGGAAGGGTTGTGGTCAACAATGAAATCAGTTACCACCTTCGCATGTCGAAATAGTTCACCAAAATTGTTAAGCCCCAGCCTTCTTGTTGCATCATTAGCACTGACACTAGGCAGTCTTTTAGGGGTCATTTCACACAGAAACACTAAAGTTTTGAGCACAACACAAGAAATGCTGTGTCGTAGACAATGGTTGAGTACAAACAAAGGGAGACGAGGGAGAGGAGACACTGCGGGCGTGTGGGGGTAACTCGCTGTGCTACGGGAGAGGCTCGTAAGTTAGCCACCATCTGTTTACCATGAATAGTCAAAATCGCAGATCGCAAACCCGTGAATAGCAAGGTTTTACTGTACAGGGAATTAAATTATTATACTGCACGTATTTCTTTCATTATGTTTATTATTGGCTTATAATCATTTTATACACCAGAAAATGTAATTTTGGGGTATTTTAAGACATTTTGGGGAAGTTTTTTCATAGCAACATATTTAAACTTTTATAATGGATGTCTATGGGAAAATGTGCTTCAATTTATGGAAAATCAATTCATGAAAGGTTTTTCAGGAAAAAAATTGTTCTATAAGCCAGGGAATGCTGTAGTACTATACAGTACAGTATTGTATAGTGATGTGTATAATATACAAGTATACCATTAAGTGTGTGGTTCATTACTACTTGGGGCCCACTGAACCATACAGTACATCCTAATAAGACCCAGTTTTAGTGGAAACTGAACACCGAGTCATATTCTTCATGTGTCCTTAAGTTTGGGGACCATTAGGATTGGAGTTCATCCAATCAGAGAACAGAGTTTACTTGTCCAAAGTACTGTACAGCTTCAATAAATACAGTCTTGGAGGACTGTACAGTATTACCCCGCCTAACGCGGTTTCACTTAACGCGTTTTATCATATACGCGGTGCCTCGCCAGAGCTGAACTTTCACTTAACACGGATTTTTTCCACATATACGCGGTGAGTGTCCGGCTCGAGACGCTATTTTTAGATTTGCCCCACCCGCCACCCTGCCTGACTGCCTGTTTTAGCTCATAAAATTCATACAAATTACCCGGCCAGAATATAATTTACATTGCTGGAATTCTTATAATTTGGTGATCATTTTGAATATAAACATCATATATTTTGCATTAGACATACAAATTTTAGATAAAAATTTTTCTCTGAGTAACTATGTTATCTTTTGTGCAAAATATATGACATTTATATTCAAAATATTCCTGGTCTTACAAGGAATCCAGCAATGTCAATTATATTATCCTAACTTTAGTTTGAGGTATTATTTATTACTAAAAAGTTAAGTATTCTGGTTTTCCCACACATCTCCTTGGGACGGTTGGTGGGGGGTGGGGGGGAGGGAGGGACCGACCGACCATCTGTTACCCTGTGAAGAATATATTTTTTTTTTTTATTAACTGAAGATATTTGTTTTAGCTCATAAAATTCATACAAATTACCCGGTCTGAATATAATTTACATTGCTGGAATTCTTATAATTTGATGATCATTTTGAATATAAACATCATATATTTTGCATTAGACATACAAATTTTAGATAACAATTTTTCTCAAATTAACTATGTTATCTTTTGTGCAAAATATATGACATTTATATTCAAAATATTCCTGGTCTTACAAGGAATCCAGCAATGTCAATTATATTATCCTAACTTTAATCTGAGGTATTATTTAATACTAAATGTTAAAAACTCTTGAAGGGAGGATTGGTGGGGGGTGGGGGGGAGGGTTGGACCGACCGCGGTTGGAAGAGGGGGGGAGGCAAGGTGGGGTACTTTGATTGACAGATAGTGTTGTGAAGATTATTTTTTTTTTATTAACTGAAGATATTTGTTTTAGCTCATAAAATTCATACAAATTACCCGGTCAGAATATAATTTACATTGCTGGAATTCTTATAATTTGGTGATCATTTTGAATATAAACATCATATATTTTGCATTAAACATACAAATTTTAGATAAAAATTTTCTCTAGGTAACTATGTTATCTTTTGTGCAAAATATATGACATTTATATTCAAAATATTCCTGGTCTTACAAGGAATCCAGCAATGTCAATTATATTATCCTAACTTTAGTTTGAGTATTATTTATTAAAATTTAGTGGTTTTCCCAAAAAATTTCTCTGAGAGGAAGAGCCGGCATTGTAGTGTGAGAGGGGAGGGGAGTTGAGTCCATTATTTGAATGGACATTAACTTGGCGACTGTATTTCTCTATTTCTCTTAAGTATTAATTGTGTGCATGTACCATCATAAAATTAAGATGTTATTTTTACTACAACATAGGTATGTGCCTTCAAAAAGTGGAGTTTGGGGGTCGGGCCGGTTTCTATTGGAATTAATCCCATATGTTCTGTTGTTCACTTAACGCGGATTTCACTTAACACGGGACCCTCTGGGTTCTATTGACCGCGTTAAGTGGGGTACAACTGAACTGTACTGTACTGTACTGTACTGTACAGGGGGCCCCCCCAAGTTTGCGGATTTTTACTTTGCGGTTCTTGAATATTTGCGGATGACACCCTGGATGTAACCAAGAATGTCTGTGTGTAGTTTTAAAGTTGCTGGCATTTTCGCTGCTGGGACAGGGAACCATTCGTTCCAGAGACAGTAATTTCCTTTACCTGTATTGTACTGTACAGTATATATGTGTGTGTGTGTGTAGATACGCACACACACACAAAACACATACAAACAAATAATAATTGGAAAATCCTCTCACAAATAATCAGAAACAAATTTAATAAAAATGTGACAGTTTACCCTCAAGTCAGTTCTCTATTACAGTACTTTATTAATAAAGCACGGACTTGAGGGTAGACTCACAATTTTAATAAATTTGTTTCTGATTATTTGTCAGAGGATTTTCCAATTATTATTTATTTGTATGTGTTTTGTTTGTGTGTGTGTGTGTGTGTGTGTGTGTGTGTTTATGTGCACGCACGTGCACACACACACACACACACACACACACACACACACTATATCCTTGACCACCGAAGGGTCAAGACGTACCTGGCGCTCCTCTCGGAGCAGCCAGGTCAACTGTTATGTTGGCCCATACCAACTCCCTCCCCTGAACCCTCCTCCCCACCGGAATATCAACAAGTTCACACCAGAAGTTACTATTTCATTTAGGAAAGAAATGGAACCAGTGTTAAACAGAGGTGAACAGTGGTGAACAGTGCTTAAGTCAGTGAGAACAACTCAACAGTAACAGTGGTACCCAAGTTGACCTTTCACACAGTGAGGTCCCAGGTACCCAGTGATAACGGCCCGTGAGACCCAACTACCAGCGTTGTGTTAATCCGTCTACGATAGGAAGGCCTGGAACCACACCTCACTCATATAACACCATCTGTGAGGGAATTACTACACCACGTGAGGCCCCTCATAACACCATATGTGAAGGAGTTACTACACCACGTGAGGCCCCTCATAACACCATCTGTGAGGGAATTACCACACCACGTGAGGCCCCTCATAACACCATCTGTGAGGGAATTACTACACCACGCGGAGGCCCCTCATAACACCATCTAGAGGGAATTAATTACACCACGTGAGGCCCCCATAACACTATCTGTGAGGGAATTACTACACCACGTGAGGCCCTCATAACACCATCTGTGAGGGAATTACTACACCACGTGAGGCCCCTCATAACACCATCTGTGAGGGAATTACTACACCACGGAGGCCCCCATAACACCATTCAGAGGAATTACTACACCACGTGAGGCCCCTCATAACACCATCTGTGAGGGAACTACTACACCACGTGAGGTCCCTCCTAACACCATCTGGGAGGGAGTTACTACACTACGTTTTTGCTGTTCAACACCTACATTAATCTGTATGTTCACTGTATGTTCCTTTACCTTTCTCTAATGAAGGCTTTTGTTAAACCACCAATGTATGTAATAAGTCCAATGTATATTTTCAGCCTTCGGGCTGCAGAACTTTTTCAATAAACCGTCAATTATTATTATTATTATTATTATTATTACATATACAATACTACAGGTAAAATAAATAATTGTCCTAAGGGCAAACACATAAAGGGAATATACATTTCTTGGTACACCTGTAAAAAATGTCCCCCCTCCCCCCCTGTCCACAAGGTTATTAGCGGATTTAGTGATTTGTGGCCATTTTTAGAACCTAACCCCAGCAAATTTGGGGGGCCCCTGTACTGTACCGTACCGTACCGTACCGTACCGTACCGTACTGTACCGTACTGTACTGTACTGTACGGTACTGTACTGTATTGTACTATCATGACACGACCTGTAATAATTAGTCTGGTAAACCATGCACTAATATATTTACAGACAGCTGCTCATAAAAAAGTTATCAACAAGATATGTGAAGTCATATTAAAGTCAATAACCTTCCTTAATTTGCTTTTACAGTACAATACAATATCTCATTCTTATCGTATTTTCTTAATAAACTAAAATTCAGACCAATTTGAAGTGCAATATTAACACAAAAACAGTTACTAATGCGACACTGAGTGCATTACTCACCTGAACAGCAGCTCATACTCCTTCTCTCGCATCAACTCTAAACGCCGTTGTTCCCTTAAAACTGTTCTCATCCACTCTGCTTCTGCTCTCCTTTGTTTCACCTGACACATAATTTTACAAACCACATTAATCTAAATAATATATTTATGAAATCATGTTATTCTACAAAATTATCTACTGAATCAATTCCTCATTGGCCATCTTGTAGCTTTAAATACACAATACAGTACAGTACAGTAGCTAAAACAACTATCTGTGCATGTGAGGGTTGATATACTGTACACAAAAATTTTACGTGTGACTAGTGAAAGCCCTCATATAACAAAATTTATCGTCCATGGTCTCATATTGTTTCCCACAAAGTATGCACAGATAGAGGTTTTAGCTACTGCACATACAACATTATGTAGACACACACTTGCAGACACTCCACTGTCCTGTGCACCACTTGAAATTCTATATTTCATGCAAACGTCTGTTCATAGCAAATGGCACACCTCTTCTAATTATTCAATTTATGATAAATTAATTCAGTCTATCACAAAATATTCAACCATAGGTATACTATATATAGAAGAGAATTTAACTTTTCTGATCCTCAGAGACTCAGCGAGGGTTCAGTTACCATAAAGTGAAAGTAGGTCCCATAGGAATGAATACCTATTAGGAACACTGTGGATACAGCACACTAAGCCTACAGTACACATGGAGACAGTATGGCCAGTACTGCACTTGACTGCATTCACTTCCCAAAGTTCTAAACTTGGTACCCATTTACAGCTAGATGAACTGGGAGTGCCAAAGGATTGAACCACTATCCCATGGAGCAGGAGGTGAGTGTTGTATCCACTCAACCATTGCACTTCTTCAGTTACCATGAAGGAAGTTCAAAAGGAAACCCACAAGGAAGTGAGTTTGTAACAATGCCATTAGTTTAGGGTGAAAGTCCCGTAAAGCGTGGGCCAATCGCAGTGACCTGTGTGTGAATGCCGTAGGCCTGATCCAATAAGGAGAGCCTGTGAGACGTGACGTCATGAACATGTGGCATCGTGTAAGCTGCCTTTATTTTAAGACAGTCTGATTAGAATTGGTTCAGTGTAGATGTGCGTCTGGTCAGCCAGTCTTCAATGGGGTGTCAACTTTGGGGTGCCTCCTTGACCCTAGCCAAATGACTGACCCAGAAGCCAGCCATGTTGACCAGCAAATTGAATTGACCGGGCCGCAAATCAAGCCTCCCGTCTTACTAGAATAAGGGACCAAAGAGGTGTATGCTAGCTACAGGGTGCAGCATGCAGCATTGCTCAACATCCAAGATTCCCGTCTCCCAGCCTTACAGGTCGCCACGTATGGCAAACACGTAGGAGAGCTATCTCCAGCCCTCGCAGACAGGGTCATTGGAAAGATGCCACTAGCCAGCTCTCAAGACCAGCAGCCCAAGAGAACCCTTTACAGTAAACCCTCGAAGATCCGGACCCGGTAAATCTGGATTTCGGAAGATTCAGACAAAAAATTGGGGGGTTCTGGGCGAAGAAGCCTCCCTAAGAATCATTCCCAAAACAGGATGAAGGTAGTTTAGGCTTAAAGTGTTTATCTTATTAAATGCCACAGACTAAAGTTAGCAGAATATAACTTGCATTGCTGGAATCCGTGTAAGATAGCAAATAATTTGAGTATAGACATCACATAGTTTGCACAAGAGATAAAAATTTTAGTCCTTTAGTGTAGTGCATTTGAGTGCAAAGTGAGTCCAGTAATATGTTGCTCAAAATTGTGGCTTTTTCACAGGAAAAAGTCTGTATAACTAACCCCAGTGGTCAGAATAATATGTACAGTAATACCCGGCTTTACACGGTTTCACTTTCCGCGATTTCTCATTTACGCGGTACCTTGCCAGAACCGGACTTTCACTTTCCGCGGTGCATCTACTGTACTCATATACGCGTGAAGTATAATTTATTTTTTTTATTTAGCTCATAAAATTCATACAAATTACCCGGCCAGAATATAATTTACACTGCTGGAATTCTTACAATATGATGATCATTTTGACTATAAACATCATGGATTTTGCATTAGACATACAAATTTTAGATCTAATGTAATAATTTGGTTTACACAAAGCAAGTATTTTATCTTTTGTGCAAAATATATGAAGTTTACATTCAAAATATTCCCTGACCTGCAAGGAATCCAGAAATGTCAATTATATTATCCTAACTTTAGTCTGAGGTATTATCTATTACTAAAAGTTAATATCTAGTCTTTTCACCCAACATTTCTCTGGTAGGGAGGGAAGGTGGGGGGGAGGGTTGGGACCGACCGACCATCTGGCACGGTTGGAAGAAGGGGGGAGGCAAGTTGGGGTACTTTGATTGACAGATAGTGTCGTGAAGAATATATTTTTTTTTTATTAACTGAAGATATTTGTTTTAGCTCATAAAATTCATACAAATTACTGGACCAGAATATAATTTACATTGCTGGAATTCTTACAATATGATGATCATTTTGAATATAAACATCATGGATTTTGCATTAGACATACAAATTTTAGATCTAATGTAATAATTTGGTTTACACAAAGCAAGTATTTTATCTTTTGTGCAAAATATATGAAGTTTACATTCAAAATATTCCCTGACCTGCAAGGAATCCAGAAATGTCAATTATATTATCCTAACTTTAGTCTGAGGTATTATTTATTACTAAACGTTAAAATCTAGTGTTTCACCCAATCATTTCTCAGAGAGGTAGGGGCCAGTGAGCTGGGAAGAGGGGGGGGGGGGATTTGAGTCCATTATTTGAATGGACATTAACCTGGCGACTGTATTTCTCTTAAATATTAATTGTGTGAGCATACCATCATAAAATTTAGATGTTATTTTTACTACAACATAGGTATTGTGTCGGAAAAAGTGGAGTTTGGGGGTCGGGCCAGTCTCTATTGGAATTAATCCCATATGTTCTGTTGTTCACTTTCCGTGGTACCCTGTGGGTTCAATTGACCGCGTAAATAGGGGCACTACTGTACTGCATTTTTGGTGTTTTTTATATCATTATTTATCGGTTTTTATACATTTAGTACATTTGCTGAAAGATCTGGACAATCGGCTTTTTCAGACAGGTGGTATCCCCTTTTAGTCTGGATCTTCAAGGGTTCACTGTAATCTTATCCCTCCCTGATGACCCTTCCAGCATGGGAAGCCCTTTCCTCCTTGAGAAGGAAGGGGGGACCATCAGATCAACAGGACCTCAAGCCTCCACACCACTATACAGTCAGTTCTGCTACAACGCGATAGTTGTGTTCGTGTAAAACCTCGCATTGTAATAATTCGCACAATAGAAATAATAGGGTTTATGGAGAAAATAGGGTTAGGTGCAGATTACTTGAAATCGAAAAAAATTTGTAGTTAGCCTAACACAAAGGATAGCACAGTCTAAATAAATGGTACATTCCTTACATTCAAAACGCTTGATAATATCAAGCTTCTCTTCAAGTGTCATAGCCTTTCTTTTACGATGACCACCGGGAATGCGATCACCAGAACGCTTCTTGGAGATATTCTTCCTTTCCATATTCACAGTTAATACCACAAAATTGGAGAAATAGTAAGCAAAAATCACTGAGGACGCTTCAAAACAACCCACGTGTTTCAACTGATCGTGTGATGGAAACAGAGAGAGCGGGTGTAAAATGCTATTAGGCCGCACTGCGAAACATTATTTTTATTTCTTTTTTTTCATACAATATTTATGGGAACAGCTAAATTTGCAAAATGATAAAATTTATAGAGTCCCTATCAAATAACACTTCACAAACAAAACACATGAATCAATTGAACATGTGATGTCGAACGTGATCTGTAAACACTGCATAACCCCGCGCCAAGCGACAGTATACTTAAAACATTTGAGGGGAATCGTGTTAAAGCCAACACGCGTTCGCGTTTTACAAATATCGTTCTTCTATTCATCAATCGCGTTATAGCCAATTCGCGTTGACAAAACACACGTTGTAGCAGAAATGACTGTACAGCAGTTCCCATTAGGGGGGTCAAATGGAAGTTGAGTCTATAGTTTGACTCTGATTTGATGAAGTGAAGTGTTATTTGTAGCAGAAACATCATTTGACCTTTTCCTTCTGTATAATGTTTACTGCCAGTAAATGTGTGAGAATCTTTAAGCCAAAGCAGAGCGCTGTCACGGGGTAATTTCTTCTTCTCCTCACTCAGAAATAGGATCTTATACTTCAGTCCCTTATTTAAATGTTATGAGAGCATCAATGAATCATGATCCACTTTTAGCAGATTATTGGAAAATAAAGATAAATGACAGGAGTCATATAAAATGAGATGTTAACAAATGGATGGCTAATATATGACACACCATCACAGTGAAGCAAACCCTGGCCAAAATAGTCAGATTGCGAAATGGACAACAAATCCAAAAACAAAGACAATATACAATATTTCTTATAGAATATTTCAATCACTGTGTGTTTCTATTTGTCTATATTAAAAGAGGAGGGGTTCATGTCGTATGTTCCCTAGTTCTTGTATTACCAATCTTACCACATAACATGTTGAAGTATCTTACCTGCTCATCTGGGTCCTCATCTGGGAGGCCTCTCAGTAAATCCTCTACAATACCTTCATCTTCCAACAATTCTTGTTGAATGTCTGCAGCTTTTTTTTTCAGCTTTAACTGAAACTGACGTGCCCAATATAACCTGAAATGATGGAGATTAATTGTATTCTAAAAAATTACAAGGAACACCGGAAAAAATACACAGTACCGTACCGTATTTGCATTTACATCTCAAATTACTCAAACACAATCAGACAGGTAACAAATGGGAATCTAATGATATGACAACTGAAGGTTCTTAACCCATGTCATCCCTATATCATAAACCAGAATTATGGCAGGAATCTCACTCAACATCAGCACATTAACTTACTCCAGTTCTTTGCGTTGCCTCAGCTCCTTCATTCGCTCTCGTCTCTGATTTATTTCGTGCAGTCGTAATCTGTCTCTCTCCAGTGCCATCTCCTCTGTTCTGAGGGCATCATCACGTCTCTCTCGTTCCCTAATAAATATTAGTGTTAGTGAGGTTGAAGACGGCCACATACTGAACTCTGACAGCTGACTTAAACAAGTATAAAATAAAGGTGAAAGGACCTATAAAGGGTAATATGAACATGAAAATACAAATTATTAAAGGATAGAGTACTGGAAGAAACTAATAATTTCAGTTATATCAATAGAGTACTGTATATCCTTTACTGCCCACAAATAGGATTCCCTCACACCCAGAACTCTCCGATAGCCAGAATTGAAATTTTCTCGGAAAATCATTCCCAGAGCCGGAATTTTCGGGCAAATTCCAGCTTTGGAAACAATTTTCCAAGAGGCACATCTTCCAGAAAATTCTGACAAAATTTTTTCCGATGCCCAGAAAATTACGGGGATGGGAGTTTTTTTTCCGGGTTGAAGAAATGAAAATCGGGCGCATTTTCCGGAAATTCAGAAAAAATTTTCCAGTAGCCAAAAAATTACGGAGATGGGGGATATTTTTCCGGGTTCAAGAGATGATATAATGGACAATTTTTGGAACTACCAAGAACATTTTTCCATTACCCGGAAAATTCCGGGGATAAGGGACTTTTCCCAGTTTTGAAAGAGTCATTTTGTTACCCAGAAATCTCTCATTCCCGGAAGTGCTCTGCACCAGCTGTTCTGGCTAACAGTGATACCACTGTACAGTAATCCCTAAGCAACCTCAAGTTTACAAACCACAGTTTGGAATGACTATATTTTAAGTACAGTACAGTGGTCCCTCGGTTAACGAGCACAATTCGTTCTAGAAGGTTGCTCGTTAACCGAAAAATTAGTTAACCGAAACCATTGTTTCAATGGGTTTTTGGGTACAGTATTACCCCGCTTTACACGGTTTCACTTTCCGCGATTTCTCATTTACGCGGTACCTTGCCAGAACCAGACTTTCACTTTCCGCGGTGCATCTACTCATATACGTGGTGAAGTATAATTTTTTTTTTTTTTATTTAGCTCATAAAATTCATACAAATTACCCGGCCAGAATATAATTTACATTGCTGGAATTCTTACAATATGATGATCATTTTGAATATAAACATCTTGGATTTTGCATTAGACATACAAATTTTAGATCAAATGTAATAATTTGGTTTACACAAAGCCAATATTTTATCCTTTGTGCAGAATATATGAAGTTTACATTCAAAATATTCCCTGACCTGCAAGGAATCCAGAAATGTCAATTATATTATCCTAAGTTTAGTCTGAGGTATTATTTATTACTAAAAATGTAAATATACTATTTTCTCCCAATCGCTTCTCTGGTAGGGAGGGAGGGAGGGAGGGACCGACCCAGCTAGGGCGGAGTATTTTGATTGACAGATAGTGTCCTTGAAGAATATTTCTTGATTTATTTACTGAAGATATATGTTTTAGCTCATAAAATTCATACAAATTACCCGGCCAGAATATAATTTACATTGCTGGAATTCTTACAATATGATGATCATTTTGAATATAAACATCATGGATTTTGCATTAGACATACAAATTTTAGATCTAAAGTAATAATTTGGTTTACACAAAGCAAATATTTTATCTTTTATGCAAAATATATGAAGTTTACATTCAAAATATTCCCTGACCTGCAAGGAATCCAGAAATGTCAATTATATTATCCTAACTTTAGTCTGAGGTATTATTTATTACTAAACGTTAAAATCTAGAGTTTTCACCCAAACATTAATCAGAGAGGTAGGAGCTAGTGAGCTGGGAAGAGGGGGGAGGGGGGATTTGAGTCCATTATTTGAATGGACATTAACCTGGCGACTGTATTTCTCTTAAATATTAATTGTGTGAGCATACCATCACAAAATTTAGATGTTATTTTTACTACAACATAGGTATTGTGTCGGAAAAAGTGGAGTTTGGGGGTCGGGCCAGTCTCTATTGGAATTAATCCCATATGTTCTGTTGTTCACTTTACGCGGTTTTCACTTTCCGCGGTACCCTGTGGGTTCAATTGACCGCGTAAATCAGGGTACTACTGTAATTGGTTCCAGCTCACCGAAAATTGCCTAAAGTCAACAAAAAAGGTAGTAAAGTTCACTTACTTTGAGATGTGTAAGTTGAAGGCTCCTGGATGATGATGATGATGATGGGAATTAGAATGGGGGTGAAGGAGAAGGGAGAAGAGAAGGCATTGGGGTGGAAGAGAAGTCACCCCATGGCGCCATTTCACCCATAAAAATTTTAGTTCACTTGGTGTAATTAAAGATTATTTTCTTTAAATCAACACTGCACTGCATTATATATTATCAATATGTAAAATAAATTTCAAAAGGACCAATAATTTGCTTGGAAACAGAAAAAAAGCATTTATGTTGAAGAGAGTCTAAAGCAAGATGTTACCTCCACTGAAAAGACACAGACTGACGCCTGTATGGTGCGTTGACAGGCTGTTTGGCACGCAAAAAACTAGCTTCCTATACTTCAATTATGTTGAATAATTGTTCAAATGACTAAAAAAAATTATATAAAACTTTTAAAAATACTGAATAGTACAAACTTCTTGATATTTACTAAAATAGTACGGAATTTAAGCCCTAGAACCGATTACTGTATTGGCGGACTAATACTACAGCTGGTGGGCCGCCAAATGCAAGCAAAAACATGTTGAGGGGCACGCGTAAGAAATTCGTTAATCGAGGGATTGCTCTTTAACCGAAGTTAAGAATCTTATGGAAGGTAATTCGTAAACCAAAATCTCGTTAACCGAGGCGCTTGTTAACAGAGGGAGCACTGTATTGTACACTCATTTTATCAACCAGAGTATCTAGCTTTAAGCATTCATGGGTTCCAAAGCCACTGCTTGAGGTTTCTAGCCCAATGAGACGGGAATGTTCGTTGGTTCAGAACTACAGGAGGTCCCTCACTTACGAACGTCCAACTTACAAAAGTTTGACTTACAAACAGCCACCGATACGAACGGGGTTACACTTTAAATTTACAGTACAGTATTTTATTTACCTGATGACTTATTTTTTACTTTCATTTACTGTATTTTGTCATTCTATTTCTTCTTTTGTCTTAATTAAGTGATTTTAGATGTATAGTATACTGCATAAGGACTTAGGCTATGATATAGTTGTTTTTAAACATTGTTCTGTTCGTACGGTGTGCACTTAGCATGTGTTCCAACTTATAAACGTCCTCAGGATCAGAACCCGTTCATAACCCGGGGACCCCCTGTACGTGTACTGTTACTTGGCTCAGCATAAATAATTTTTCCTCAAACAACTATTTGTTATCGTGACCCATCAGGTCCTCTTACTTCTTCAACCTTTTTTAATCAATTTCCTTCATCATATAAGTTATCTAGTCCTGGTAATAGTCTTCACTTAACACACCATTTTTTTACCCAACTGAAAGATGTCAATTATTTTAGAATGTGTTATATTTATTTGTGTAAAATAAATACTGCACTGTTTTGAAAACTGATAAGAAATATATCCTAGGTTTTGAGGATTTTACATTCTTTTTTCATCAAAATTTTCATTATAAAGTACAGTACGCATAAATAAAAGTATAAGAATACATGTCAAATAAAACAAAAAATCAAACAAATAAACATAAAAACACATGCTACATCAATGAGTGCACATACTTTGGGTCAACCGAGACGTGTGGGCAGCTGCCAGTAGTATGGAGCAGATGCAGTACCAACCTACTCTGAGAGGCCCAGCTCTTGCATTTATGTTCTCTGTCCTTAAGCATATGATCTCATGTCAAGTAACAAAATCTTTTAAAAATCTATTGTTCATACCAGGGTGTCAACTGGCCAGACACCGAAAATCACACTCCTGATTCACCTATATGACTCATGATATATATACAGTGGTCCCTCAGTTAATGAACACAATTCATTCCAGAAGGTCGTTCGTTAACCGAAAATTTCGTTAACCGAAACCATTGTTTCAATGGCATTTTGGGTAATTGGTTCCAGCTCACCGAAAATTACATACAAAGTAAAAAATAAATGCAGTAAAGTACATTTACTTTGAGGTGTGTATGTAGAAGGCTCCTGGTTGATGATGATGGGAATTAGAATTGGGGGTGGAGAAGGGAGAAGAGAAGGCATTGGGGTGGAAGAAAAATCACCCCATGCTTCATGCCGTCATTTCACCCATAAAATTTCAGAATGACCAATAATTGTACAGTGACCGTTAATCTAACACCTCGGTTAACGTAATTTCGATTAACGAACTGCCTTCCATAAGGATCTTCAATTCGGTTAACGAAAAAAAATTCGCTTAACGAACTTCTTACGAACCGACCTCAACATGTTTTCGCTTGCACTGACCGGGCAACCAGCTTTAGTATCAGTCCGCCAATACATTAATCGGTTCTAGGGCTTAAATTCCTTACTATTTTTGTAAATATCAAGAAGTTTATACTATTCAATTATTTTAAAAGTTTAATATTCAATTTTTTAGTCATTTTAACAATTATTGAACAAAATTGAAGGTAAAGTGACTAGTTTAATGCGCGGCATCCAGCCTCTTAACACAGCAAACAGGCGTCAGTCTCTCTCTGTTTTCACTGGAGGTAACATCTTGCTTGAGACTCTCTTCAACTAAACGCTTTTTTTCTGTGTTTCCAAGCAAATTATTGGTCATTTTGAAAATTATTTTACATATTGACAATATATAGTGCAGTGCAGTGTTATTTTAAAGAAAATATTCTTTATTTACAGCTAGTTTAACTTTGAAAAATACGTGTTGCCATTGTTTGAATCCAGCATGGGGCCTAAGAGATCAAGAAAAGTGATTTCAATCCAAATAAAGCAGGAAATAATAAAAAAACACGAACAAGGTATTAAATCAAATGCGCTATGCAAAGAATATGGCATGTCGGCATCAACTGTGTCGACAATTCTTGCACAAAAAGACAAATTTAAGGAAGTGAACGTGAGAGACAAATCTACAAGAGTGTTTAAAAGTAGATCCCTAATCGTAGAAACTGAGAGGTTACTTATCATCTGGATTAGGGAAAAACAGATGAAAGGTGATTCAGTTTCTGGTGATTTCATTTGTGAAAGAGCCAGGGAGATTTATGAACATTTAAAGACAGATCAACCTGGTTCTTCAGGAACAGAATTTGAAGATTTTCGGGCTAGCAAAGGCTGGTTCGAAAAATTTAAGAAAAGAAGTGACATTTTAAGTGTTGTTAGGCATGGTGAAGCTGCTAGTGCTGATAAAGAAGGGGCAGCAAAGTTTTTAATTGAATTTAAAAAACTGATGGAAGAAGAAAATTATCTTCCACAGCAAGTGTTCAATGTTGACGAAACTGGGCTGTTCTGGAAAAAGATGCCCAAAAGAACATTCATCACCAAGGATGAAGCCTCTTTACCTGGGCATAAACCCATGAAAGACCGTCTCACTCTATTGCTTGGTGCCAATGCTTCAGGGGATTTCCGACTGAAGCCTATGCTTGTCTACCACTCTGAAAACCCCAGGGTGTTCAAGCAACAGAAAGTGGTAAGAACAATGCTTGGAGTTTATTGGAAGTCCAACCGTAAGGCATGGGTGACAAGACAGTTCTTTAATGAATGGGCTATTGATGTGTTTTGCCCCTCTGTCAAGAGCTACCTAACCACCAATAAACTTCCTTTAAAGGCTCTTCTCCTCATGGATAATGCTCCTGGTCATGACCCTGACCTTGCCAGAAATTTGGAGTATAAATTTGACTTTGTGAAAGTGTTGTTTTTGCCTCCAAACACTACATCACTCATACAGCCAATGGACCAGAATGTGATCAGCAACTTCAAGAAGTTGTACATGAAGAAAATGTTTAGGAGGTGTCATCAGGCAACTTCCATTGATCCTGAACTAACACTGAAACAGTTCTGGAAGACACAATTCAACGTCCTGGAGGCTGTAAAATTGATTGTGTCATCATGGCAAGAAGTCTCCAATAGAACCCTCAATTCTTCATGGAAAGCACTGTGGCCATCAGTAGTCCATGATTTTGAGGGATTTGAGGATGACACAGAGTTGGACCAGGAGATTGTGTCCATTGGTCAGTCATTGGGTCTTGAAGTGGAGGAGAAGGATGTGGAAGAGCTTGTGATGTCTCATGAGGAGGAACTTACTCCTAATGACTTGAAGGAACTGGATGAGATGTTACGGGTAGAGGCTGACAGTGGTGAGGAGGAAATTGAAAGTGATGACCATATGTCAGCTACACAGTTGAAAGATGTGATTTACCACTGGGAGAAGTTCAGGGAACTGGCTTCAAAGCACCCAGAAGTGGAAAAAACTGAACTAACTTTGTGTCATGTTGAGGACTCAGTGGTCTCCTTCTTTAAACATAAGTTAATGGTGAGGAGGACAGATGCCCCACAGACCACAATTGACACTTTCTTCAGTAAAAGGCAGAGGGAACAAGATGCTAGCCCTCAGCCTTCCACTTCAAGAAGGAGAGAGGATGTTCATGGTGGAGAATCTGTCAGTCCAGAGGTTCCTGACATTTTCATGGAAGGTGACTCACCTTCCAAGAAGCAGTAAAATGCTTCTCCTCCACCTCCACTTCCTTCTCTTCTCCCTTCTCCTCCTGCACCTCCCACTTCAAATGCACATCATCACCATCATCCAGGAGCCTTCTACATACACACCTCAAAGTAAGTAAATTTTTCCGCCATTTTTGTTGAAGTTAGGAAATTTTCGGTGAGCTGGAACCAATTACCCAAAAACCCATTGAAACAATGGTTTCGGTTAACGAACGTTTCGGTTAACGAACGACCTTCTGGAACGGATTGAGTTCGTTAACCGAGGGGCCTACTGTAAAAACGTAAATATACTCTGTGTTCAAGAGACCCACATGCAAGATGTTTCCTCCACTGAACAGAGATACAAGCTGAGGCATTGGTGGGTGAGTGAAGTGGCTGATGGGCGCACCAAAAACTAGTTCCCTGTACTGCAATTATGTTAAATAGGTGTTAAAGTTACTAAAAATTTTAATATAAAACTTGGAAAATTATTGAATAGTACAACCTTCTTGATATTTACTCCAATTTTAACGAATGTAAGCCCTAGAACCAATTTCTGTATTGGCGAACTAATCTTCCAGCTGGTGAGCAAGCCAAAGCATGTCAAAACATTTTCATAAGAATTTCGTTAACCGAATTTTTGTTCATTAACTGAAATGAAGATTCTTATGGAAGGTAATTCGTTAACCGAAATTTCGTTAACCGAGGGACCACTGTATGTGGAATAATCCACTTAATTATAAGAACAATTCATCTCTGACAATACTCATTGCAGAATTAGTAGGTTTAACCTGGAATATTTGGTTATTTGACCGCTACCATGAAATATGACAGGTACACAAACAATTTCTTGGTTTTTCCAGGTTTTCTAGCCCCAAATAAAATTCCCTGCCTTTTCCAGGTTTTCCAGTTCAGTAGACACCCTGCATACACACATTTGCATAAGAAAACCTTGTAGGGTGTAAAAACTAGATGAATTTTTTTGCATTGCCAGGGCCAGGTTTAGCTCCCTTACTTTATCTGTTCAACTTGAGCTTCTAAATGAACTTTCCATTCTGCTTGTTTCTTCAATTTCTCTTCTTCTGCTTTTTTCTCCTCTTCCTCTAGATGTTGCTGTAGAGCTGCTGCTTCAATTTCTTTCTTTCGATCTTCTTCTAATCTCCGCTGTCTTTCGTCTTCCTTCCACTGCCTTTGATTGACCCAAGCTTCTTGGACAAAGTGGTTGAACCTGTCTGACTCCATCTGATACAAAACAATGAAATGGTCAGATTAGAAGAAGGAAGGAAGTCTAGAACATCATTGTCCTTTAATTTAATGTCCATTTAAGACACTTTTCTATTTCTTTGGTATAAAAATACTTCTCACTCAACCCAATGATTCTATTCGCAGTTTTCATCACTACCACATCAAAACAAAAGGTACCATGAGGAATGACAATTTGGTAAAGTATTTAATCTTAGTATATTGGAACTGAGAAGTAGAAGGGTAGACTGTGTAAGACGAGTTGAATTAGTACCAGAGTTTTGTAAAGTCAAAGAACTCATTAGTGATGATACAAGGGCATTAAGATGGTCTCAATAAGGAAGTGTTCATATTGTTCATTCACATCAAGAAATTAGATACATCTCGCTGTACAGCAAATTTCTAAATTAACTGTGTGAAGATTTAACCTACCAGCCAACAAGGCCTTATTTGCCCAATACAGTAGTAGCAATGAGTACAGTATGTAAAGGCAAGGCACAACCCAAGGAGAGTTGGTTATTTTCAATAGGGGTGGAACGTAACCCCCTATTTACCACTGGTTACACTCTGTTTTAATGTATATAGCTTGGTACTGTATTTTCAAGGAATACATTTATTGAACTATAAAAAGTCTACTTTACCTTCAATTATTTTTAAAGCCAACAGAAGAAGGAGGTAACAACTGTATCTCACCTGCCTCATTTGTGGACTGTTCTTCCTCCACACCTCATACGACAATGCATCAGACATTTTTTTCCGTTCTTCTTGGTTCTTTTTCTTCAGGCCGTCCAAGCGGTATTTTAGCATCTCAACCTATCCAGTATGAAAAGTTAGATACTGTAATGTTAACCTGACCTTTTGCAAACATTTTCAAAGATAAATTACAATACTGTATACAGTAAAGTACAAAATAGCTTTCCTTTTCTTAGAATATCTTCTAACTGTACTGTACAGTACTTCTAAGGCCGCGTGCCGTATATCTCGGCCTATAAGACGGAATTTGAACCATAAAAAAAATCAGCCCAAAGTTAGGGGGTCGTCTTAGGCACCAGATATAAAATTCTTACCTCTTAAATATTGCGGTTTAGCGTGTCAAGAGTGGTGATGGAAACATCGTAAACCACTCCCAAGGTCCTACCACTAATTATTTTATACTGAAACTTACGTTTGGGAAGCTGGATTAAAATGAAGATTACCGATATATTAAAATAACAAAAATGTATTATAAACCTGTCTAACATACCATAAAAGAACAATATTCCCCGGTAATATACACAGCTGCTATCATCACCCCCCCCCATTTGCCAGTGGCAAGAAAGGGAAAGTGACCTTGACTGTGACCGCCTGTGGCTATTTTTAGCTGTCCTTGTGTTCGGAGGTGGTCAGTAATGCATATCTGTATATTTACTGATCATAATACTTATCTCCTATAAATAATTCATTTAAAATTTATTTTTATACAAAGAATATTCAGTAAATGACTGCGTTAATTCTTGAAACTACCGACAGTGGTAAATTTAGGATATAAATGATGAACAGAAGTCACTCATGGATTCAAAGTTTGGTCCTTAATGATCACCATAAATGTCTGGTCAACTTCACCTACCAGGTATAATGGTAGCCTCCCTTTTTCACAAAACAAGTACAGTTGTACCCCACTTAACGCGGTCAATTGAACCCAGAGGGTCCCGCGTTAAGTGAAATCCGCGTTAAGTGAACAACAGAACATATGGGATTAATTCCAATAGAAACCGGCCCGACCCCCAAACTCCACTTTTTGAAGGCACATACCTATGTTGTAGTAAAAATAACATCTTAATTTTATGGTGGTACATGCACACAATTAATACTTAAGAGAAATAGAGAAATACAGTCGCCAAGTTAATGTCCATTCAAATAATGGACTCAACTCCCTCCCCCTCTCACACTACACTGCCGGCTCTTCCCTCTCTGAGAAATTTTTGGGGGAAAACCACTAAATTTTAATAAATAATACCTCAAACTAAAGTTAGGATAATACAATTGACATTGCTGGATTCCTTGTAAGACCAGGAATATTTTGAATATAAATGTCATAAATTTTGCACAAAAGATAACATAGTTACCTAGAGAAAAATTTGTATCTAAAATTTGTATGTTTAATGCAAAATATATGATGTTTATATTCAAAATGATCACCAAATTATAAGAATTCCAGCAATGTAAATTATATTCTGACCGGGTAATTTGTATGAATTTTATGAGCTAAAACAAATATCTTCAGTTAATGAAAAAAAAAATAATCTTCAGGACACTATCTGTCAATCAAAGTACCCCACCTTGCCTCCCCCCCTCTTCCAACCGCGCGGTCAGTCCCAACCCTCCCCCCCACCCCCCACCAATCCTCCCTTCAAGAGTTTTTAACATTTAGTATTAAATAATACCTCAGATTAAAGTTAGGATAATATAATTGACATTGCTGGATTCCTTGTAAGACCAGGAATATTTTGAATATAAATGTCATATATTTTGCACAAAAGATAACATAGTTACTCTGAGAAAAATTTTTATCTAAAATTTGTATGTCTAATGCAAAATATATGATGTTTATATTCAAAATGATCATCAAATTATAAGAATTCCAGCAATGTAAATTATATTCAGACCGGGTAATTTGTATGAATTTTATGAGCTAAAACAAATATCTTCAGTTAATAAAAAAAAAAAAATATTCTTCACGGGGTAACAGATGGTTGGTCGGTCGGTCCCTCCCTCCCCCCCACCCCCCACCAACCGTCCCATGCAGATGTGTGGGATAACCAGAATACAGTTGTACCCCACTTAACGCGGTCAATTGAACCCAGAGGGTCCCGCGTAAAGTGAAATCCGCGTTAAGTGAACAACAGAACATATGGGATTAATTCCAATAGAAACCGGCCCGACCCCCAAACTCCACTTTTTGAAGGCACATACCTATGTTGTAGTAAAAATAACATCTTAATTTTATGATGGTACATGCACACAATTAATACTTAAGAGAAATAGAGAAATACAGTCGCCAAGTTAATGTCCATTCAAATAATGGACTCAACTCCCTCCCCCTCTCACACTACACTGCTTGGGGGAAAACCACTAAATTTTAATAAATAATACCTCAAACTAAAGTTAGGATAATACAATTGACATTGCTGGATTCCTTGTAAGACCAGGAATATTTTGAATATAAATGTCATATATTTTGCACAAAAGATAACATAGTTACCTAGAGAAAAATTTTTATCTAAAAATTGTATGTTTAATGCAAAATATATGATGTTTATATTCAAAATGATCACCAAATTATAAGAATTCCAGCAATGTAAATTATATTCTGACCGGGTAATTTGTATGAATTTTATGAGCTAAAACAAATATCTTCAGTTAATAAAAAAAATAATAATCTTCACGACACTATCTGTCAATCAAAGTACCCCACCTTGCCTCCCCCCCTCTTCCAACCGCGCGGTCAGTCCCAACCCTCCCCCCCACCCCCCACCAATCCTCCCTTCCAGAGTTTTTAACATTTAGTATTAAATAATACCTCAGATTAAAGTTAGGATAATATAATTGACATTGCTGGATTCCTTGTAAGACCAGGAATATTTTGAATATAAATGTCATATATTTTGCACAAAAGATAACATAGTTACCTAGAGAAAATTTTTTATCTAAAAATTGTATGTTTAATGCAAAATATATGATGTTTATATTCAAAATGATCACCAAATTATAAGAATTCCAGCAATGTAAATTATATTCTGACCGGGTAATTTGTATGAATTTTATGAGCTAAAACAAATATCTTCAGTTAATAAAAAAAATAATAATTCTTCACGGGTAACAGATGGTCGGTCGGTCCCTCCCTCCCCCCCACCCCCCACCAACCGTCCCAAGGAGATGTGTGGGATAACCACTAAATTTTAATAAATAATACCTCAAACTAAAGTTAGGATAATATAATTGACATTGCTGGATTCCTTGTAAGACCAGGAATATTTTGAATATAAATGTCATATATTTTGCACAAAAGATAACATAGTTACCTAGAGAAAAATTTTTATCTAAAAATTGTATGTTTAATGCAAAATATATGATGTTTATATTCAAAATGATCACCAAATTATAAGAATTCCAGCAATGTAAATTATATTCTGGCCTGGTAATTTGTATGAATTTTATGAGCTAAAACAGGCAGTCAGGCAGGGTGGGGCAAATCTAAAAATAGCGTCTCGAGCCGGACACTCACCGCGTATATGTGGAAAAAATCCGTGTTAAGTGAAAGTTCAGCTCTGGCGAGGCACCGCGTATATGATAAAACGCGTTAAGTGAAACCGCGTTAGGCGGGGTAATACTGTACTTAACTTTTTTGTAATAAATAATACCTCAAACTAAAGTTAGGATAATATAATTGACATTGCTGGATTCCTTGTAAGACCAGGAATATTTTGAATATAAATGTCATATATTTTGCACAAAAGATAACATAGTTACTCTGAGAAAAATTTTTATCTAAAATTTGTATGTCTAATGCAAAATATATGATGTTTATATTCAAAATGATCACCAAATTATAAGAATTCCAGCAATGTAAATTATATTCTGACCGGGCAATTTGTATGAATTTTATGAGCTAAAACAGGCAGTCAGGCAGGGTGGTGGGTGGGGCAAATCTAAAAATAGCGTCTCGAGCCGGACACTCACCGCGTATATGTGGAAAAAATCCGTGTTAAGTGAAAGTTCAGCTCTGGCGAGGCACCGCGTATATGATAAAACGCGTTAAGTGAAACCGCGTTAGGCGGGGTAATACTGTACATCATTTCAGCAAAAATATTACATTTCCGTGAATGTATTATATCAAGCACAGTATGAATAGAATATCATTGTAATATAACAGTATTTTCACCAAAAGCTATTAAAAAAAACGAGTAACTTCTCTTGAACATCGGAAGGTTAGGTAAAGTCTTTTGTTTTCGTCATGTATTTTATCTTATTTTACATTAAAATACATCACGTTTCAACAAAACTACTATTTATTTCCGAGAATATATTCATTCAGGCACAGTTAAGGTAAAATATACATGTGATGTAACAGTTTCTTAACTGAAAATGATTAAAAAAACACGTGTACCGTCTAGCTGATACGCAACAGCTGGTGGTGCGTGATGCATCGTTGTAAACAATAGGAGGTTGAAGTGGATTACCGGGTATTATATTAAGTGTGAAATATCGAAAAGGTTTTTATTATCGGTATTTTTTGTACATCAATGAGTACTGTGATACAGTATATGATATGATAAATTAGCCTGTGCTAAGAACTTCAACATAGACTACTGAAAGCACGTTGTAAGGTAATTTAGCCTGAAGAAACTGCACAACTTTTCATTACTAATTGGTACATATTTTATGTTTCCATTGTTTACTCTCAGTAAATGGTAAATATTTTTCATGTCTGAAGCTAAAAGTTGCTCCTCGCCCTTCCCATCATGCACGGGTTCAACCTAACAAAACTATTACCTATGTAGAGGTCGACCCCCAATTTTTTGCCTAAAAATTGGGTCTTAAGAACTCGAACTACACACGAGTATATACGGTACATGCATTATTGTTTGCTTTATAAACAGTACTACTGTACATGTAGTTGATATCTTTTATTTTTAGCATCATGTGGACAACTGAAACAACACTTTCTGTAATTGAGATGCTACATGCTACTCCTTCTTTGTGGGATGTTACATGCCCAGACTATAAAAACCCAGGGAAAAAAAGACGCCATACCAAAATGATGAGAAGTCGGATGATGTTTTGTAGTTAACTTTTTACATACTCTTTATTTGCATGAAACAATTATTCTTACTTTTGCCAGTAACCTTGTTATTTACACAAAATGAGAGACAAAAGATGAAAGAAAATGAATGAAAAGGAGACATAAATTAAAGAAAAACAACAAATAGTATTATAGGTAGGTGTATGTAATTGATATGTGCATGGCACAATAAAGGATTTTCCCAGTTTATTTATTTTTTATGCAATTTTATAAGTATTATTTTTCCCCTTTACAATATGTCAATATTTTAATAAACTTAATTTCACAAATTCCTTCAGGGCATCAGTGAAAGTGTCACACACTTCCCGAACGATGGCAGATACTGACTGTTTTGACACTTTGAAGGAACAGGGCTTGTAAATGAGTCCCCACTGGCACGATATACTTTAATGTTACTGCCAGGCGTATTTTGGCAGGGATTGAGGCTTGATAGTTTGTATTTTGCTTTGTAATTTTTGGACCAACCATTTTCAGTAATATTTCAAAATCTGAAGCTGTTGTTCTTAAAAAGTTTCTAAATCCAGTTGCACCTTCCAGTTTCAGGTCCGTCATAGTTGTTCCTTCATAAAAATATTTCTTCATCCAACATCATCGAGGTCTTTTCCTTGACCTTCGCCTTCTTTCTTCTAAGGAAATAACAACACAAGCTCCCGCCGCAGCGGCCACTTCCGCATCCACCGGCATGACGTTGACTGCTCTTCCCGCCAATTCATCACTCTAGCTTGGTCTGGACGTGCAACAATGTTTCTGGACTGTCTCGCGACTGTTGTGAAACAACCAGGAGACAGTCCAGCAACAAAGTTTACCGATCGTTTCTGGACTGTTTCGCAACAGTCGCTAGACAGTCCAGAAGCAATATTGCTGTGTCTCCCAAGTGTTTCTGGACTGTCTCGCGACTGTTTCTGGATTATCTCGCAATACTGTAGTCCAGAAACATTTTTGCGTGACTGTTTCTAGACAATGTATCTTGGTGTGTGTACGAGGCTTAACAGCTTTCATAACAAAATGCTGTGGAAGAAACCAAGCAACATTACTTACAACTTTGAACACTAACTGACCTCAGGGTAAACAAAGTGATGGTGGAGCGTCCGTCCTCTGGATTCTTTATATCTTTGTTCTCTTTCCTCTTGATATTTCCGCTCATCTTCCAGGAGTAAGTTTTGAAGTCGTGTTCTCCGGTCAGCCAATTGACGCTCCTTTTCTTCTTTCTGTCTCCACTCCTCTTCATCTGAACTGAAAAAATTAGTAATGTATGATGGCGGTTTTCTCAAGTTTCTTTTGTATACAGTACAGTATTTTCATGAGTCATACCCTACAATAACACTACAGTACAATGCTCTGGGCAGAAATCCACCGAAGACTTTACTGTACAGGCATCCCCCGCGTTACGGAACCTCGGGTACGGAACCCCAGTCTCTATTTCAAGTAATCCCATATGTTCTGTTATTTCACTTACGGGTAAACCGAGACTATACTGTACATAAATTACAGTGGAATTGAAAAACATAAGTATAATGGGGGAGCAGTACAACATGGGTTGTACAGTAATAAGGTTGAACAAGAGGACAGAGCTGTCAGGATTATGTCTAGTTGGCAAATATGTTTATTGCAATGGTAATTACTTATCTATTTACATGATAATTTTCGATAAAATGGTTTTGATGGTACAATAAAAGCAGGTACAGTTGAACCTGGATTTACGCGGTTCTCGTTTACGCGTTTGGTCATTTACGCGGTACCTTGCCAGAAACAGGATGCCCGATTAACGCGGTAAATTTGGTCATTTACGCAGGTGAAGTATAATTTTTTTATTTCCTGAAGATGTTTGTTTTAGCTCATAAAATTCATACAAATTACCCAGCCAGAATATAATTTACATTGCTGGAATTCTTACAATATGATGATCATTTTAACATCATGGATTTTGCATTAGACATACAAATTTTAGATCTAATGTAAGAATTTTGTTTACAAAGAGCAATTATTTTATCTTTTGTGCAAAACATATGACGTGTATATTCAAAATATTCTTGGTCTTGCAAGGAATCCAGCAATATCAATTACAGTCAACCCTCACTTCACGCGGTTAATTCAACCCACAGGGTACCGCGGAAAGTGAGAAACGCGTAAAGTGAACAACATAACACATGGGATTAATTGAAATAGAGACCAGGCCAACCCCCAAACTCCACTTTTTGACGACACACAATTATGTTGTAGTAAAAATATTATCCTAACTTTATGATGGTATGCACACACAATTAATAATTAAGAGAAATATCAATAATATTAGGCTTTTTAACACTTACATTAGTAGAAAAGATGGCTGGGCACACAGGGATGGGCGGTTGGTTCCCAGGCAGAGGGCAGATTATTGGCCCTCACCTGTATCACTTGTATCAATTGTATCACTATCCGCCACAGAGGCTTGCAGGGCCTCTTTGTCAAACCCCTCAAAGTCCATATAAGTCCATATCCTCACTATAATTATCACTATCACTGACTTGGGCCGGCTGTGGTGGGTGGCGGGTGAAGAACTCGGTAATGTTTTGATGACTGGGCGACCTTGTGCGCACCATGCTCGCGCCGCTTACACAAAATGGCGGATGGCGGGAGAGGGCGGGAGAGATGGCGGGAGGTTTGGATCCAAAAATGGCGCGGCTCGTCAGCCGCTCTCCGCGTAAAGGGGTACACGCACCGCGGAATGTGAGCATTCCTGTTTCGGCAGGGTACCACGTAAACGTGGAAACGCGGAATGTGGGACCGCGTAAAGTGAGGGTTGACTGTATATTATCCTAACTTTAGTCTGAGGTATTATTTTTTACTATACCTTAAGATCTAGTGTTTTCACCCAAACATTTCTCAGAGAGGGAGGAGTCAGCGAGCGTGGGAAGAGGGACGGGGGAGTTGAGTCCATTATTTGAATATTTGAATGGACATTAACCTGGCGACTGTATTTCTCTTAAATATTAATTGTGTGTGCATACCATCATAAAATTAAAATGTTATTTTTGCTACAACATAGGTATTGTGTCGGTATTGTGTCAGAAAAAGTGGAGTTTGGGAGTCGGCCCAGTCTCTATTTCAATTAATCCCATATGTTCTGTTATTCCATTTACGCGTTTCTTGTTTTACGCGCTACTCCACGGGTTCAATTGACCGCGTAAATCGGGGTATTACTGTACTGTACTGTAAATATAGTACGCGTTACAAGAAATATTAATACTTAAACAATAGATATTTTTTAAGAAATGATTTAAAGGAAGGGAGCGTAGTCTTTGCTCGGATGTGTGGGGGTAAGTTGTTCCACACCTTCACACCATGATATTTTTGGAGGTCTGGGACTGAGAGGAGCACATGGGGGTGGTCTTAGTAGCTCTGGGTGCCTTAAGTTGTATCTCTGATTATTCCAGAACTGGAAATAATTATTGTCACGCAAGTGATTGATAGATTTGTAAACAAAGAGGGCACAGCAGTAGGTGTTAATATCTTCGAATTTTAAAAAATTCAATATAGCAAATTTTTCGTTTGTGTGATCTGTTTTTTCAAGTAGGTCATTGTCCGTACAACTCTCTCTTGTGCAGTAACCAGAGATTGTGTTTTTGAAGAGTCAGAGGCCCCCCATAGTGTGTGACAGTGTATCAGGTGTTGGTAAACAAGATCATGATAGATTTCTTTCATTGCTGTGAGAGTGAGTGACTGTCGAGTGTGATACATGATACCGCACTGTTTATTGATTTTACTGTGAATGGCTTGTATGTGGTTTCTCCAGTTAAGTTTCTCATCAACAATAACTCTGAGGAATTTAGTATTTTGTTCGCATTTGAGGACTATATTACCAAGGTACAGGGGGTCCAAGTCTGGGGGTAAGTTTTTCCTTCTGTGAGAGATCGTGTAGTGGGTTTTATCAAGGTTTAAGGTCACTTTATTACGGATTACCAGTGGTGGGCACAGCTAAACGAAAAGTTAGCTTCGCTACCCGCTAATCCGCTAACTAAAAAGTTAACTTCGGTAACGCTAAACCGCTAAACAGCTAAAAAAATTAGCGGAAGCTATCGCTAACCGCTAACTTTTGTTATATGAATTTAGCTTCGTTTTTTTTTGGGGGGGGGGGGCTCTAAAACCCTTAAAAACAGACCTAGAGAGCTGAAATTTTCATATGTTGTCTTGTAGCTTAGACAGAGCTTTCCAAAAAGGTATGGCATGCCAAGATCAGATGATGATCAAGGTGTACACAAATAATTAAATAAAAAAATGAAATAAAACATTAGTTTACATTCAAGTTTCAACATACACTTTATAATCTTTATTTACTGTATGAAAAGACAGAAAGTATTAAACGAATCCAAAAACTATAGTACTGTATAGCATAGGTAGCAAATAGCATCATGCCAAGATCAGATGATGATCAACTTATCAAGGTGTACACTGTACTGTAAACAATTTCACAAATATTTAATTTGCATTCTCATACAACCTATCGGCCATACACATTATACCAGTGTATTTTTATATAACTTATTCTTGGTCTTATTCATTATAACAGTGTATTTTTATATAACTTATTGTTGGTCTTAGTCATGTAAATAAACAGAAAACTCTAAACTTTAATGAAAAGTAAGTTTTTAGACAATTTTGTTTGGCGCACACCTTGGATGACATCCTGGTTATGAACTTATGCAGTACTTAGCATAGCCAAATATATTGACACAAAAAAAATCCTAATTAAATTAACAAATAAATGAGAAATGAAATTATACATTAGTTTACAATTACATTCTATGATTCTTTCAACATACACTAACAGTCTTTATTTACTGTAAAAAAAAGTATTAAACTTTAATAATCGAAAAATTCCATTCACTCCGGCTGCAGTGGCTGGACCTTCTCCATCACCTCAACGTGATGATGGTTGCCCTTCATAAACATCAGCCTCTCAAAGTTGCCATCTGACAGGGTGGCTCTCTTGGACCTCAAGATATCTTTGCACGTACTAACACGCAGTCAGCCAAGTGTGCCTGACTGGCTGTTGGAGACACGCGTCGCGGCGTCACACGCTTACAACAGACAGGAACAAACATGTATAAATTTTGTTAGCGGACTTAAAGTTAGCGGAACTAAATTTAGCGGAAACTAATTGCTCCGCTAATGGTTTCCAAAGTTAGCGAAAACGCTAATCCGGTAACGAGAAAGTTAGCTTCACTAATTAGCGGTTAGCGGATTAGTGGAACTGTACCCACCACTGCGTATTACCCAGCTCCTGACTTTGGTTAATTCAATGTTCATAGTTCTCATCAAGGAATGGAGGTCTGAGTTGCTGGTATAGAGATTACTATCGTCTACAAATAAGTTGTATTTTATGAGTGAGCTGGCGTGGACTAAGTCGTTTATGTACAACAAAAACAGTACTGGACCGAGAATGGAACCTTGGGGGACTCCATACAAGATTGGCGAGGAGTCAGATTGGTGATTATTATAGGAGACATACTGCATCCTGTTGGACAGACATGAGGTAAACCAATTGTGGGACAGGCCCCTAACGCCGTAATGTTCAAGCTTTGAAAGTAGGATGGTATGGTCGACAGCATCGAAGGTTTTAGAGAGGTCAAAGAATATACCAACTGTGAACTGACTGTCATAGTATAGTATACTGTTTATAGTATAGTATAGTGCAGGGAGTATAGCATAGTATAGTACAGTATAGTATATACAGTCATCCCTTGGTTATAGCGCACTTCGTTATCGCTATTTTCGCTATCACGCCTCCATCAAAATCTGCACACCTGCTGTTATAATGCATTTTTCAGGCCGAGAATTTAGTTATCACGTAGTTGCCTCCAGATGTATTGTTATCTCCTTGCTTCACCTACATCTATTGAGGATAAAAGCTTTCACCTACAAATTGACGATAACACATTTGCTGGATGAAAATGGATGGAGGTAACAAAACTTGAAAGCGGTTGTACAAACACAAGCACTCACACATGCCTCGCTCGCGCATCGAACTGCGTATCAGCCCTCGACGTCATTGGCTGGGATTTTTCAGCCACCAAAGCTCGTTTTTTATTGGCCCACACCACCACAGCTGGGGTAGAAGGGGAGTTTCAGAAAGCGTCCCTCTATCCCGGCTCCCCGCAGTCGTGATAACCGTGGCTTGTGCGCGGGAACCAAGGATTACTCTTTTTTGTGTGTACCCTATTGTTGTCCGTGACGGCTGAGGCCCCTCCCAACAT